GCCTCATCCTCACATGCCTCATCCAGCCGTTCTGCCACCCAGATATATCATGCTGCCTCATCCCGACGCTTAGAGAAGGCCCGCATGGCCTCACCTGGCCCATCTAGGCCGTCCTCGCGTGAAGCAACTCCTTTAAAGCATATGCAAGATACCCGGGCTAAGGAGCACCTAAATAATGCCCGCTATAACGTCAGAATTGCCTTTAAGATTAACATTGCCCTTAATTTCCTATTAATCCTAGCAACTTTATGTGAGTGCGAGCAGTGCTTCTTATAGGCTAAGAAGACTATTATAATAAGGAGGAATTAACTATTAGCGTTAATAATAGAGGAATTAGTTACATAACATTGCTGTTACTAGTAAGATTAACAACTGTAGATCTTATAAGGGGTATTATAACTTCCTAATTAGGTATAGTCTTTAGCTTTAGCGCAATTACTTCATAATACTTCAGTTACTGTATCCGAACCGTACACCGACGTCATCTCCTCCGTACAGTTAGTTAGTAACAGCCGACTCTTCCGTAACTGTACTATACAACCTCCAAAAGGCTCCGTAACTAACGGTTGGACACACTGTCTATAGCTGGATAAATCCTTACACCCATAGCCTTCTTAGCACCAATTCGAGGATGGGGTTCTCAGACCCGAATTCAGCTTCGAGCAACTTCAACTCTTTGAGTATATCCTCTTGCATGTCCTGAAGCAGCGAGAAAGTAAAGTCGAGGGCTCCTCCTTTTCTCATTTTCCCCAAGATCAGCCTTTTCAATCCCATCGACATCTCTCCAACGCCTTTGTGCTGTAATATGCCCTTGATCATAGTCTGTTCGGGATCAGAGCCGGTGAGACAGTGGATGAGCGGTAAGGAAATCTTGCCCTCATCCAGGTCCTCGCAAAACCCCTTTTGACTAGCGTACTGTTGCACGTTAGCTGTGTTTCGCCACACAGTCGAGTATGTAGTCTCACTTCGTCTGACATGAGGTTTTGGTAATCATCGCGAATTTGGAAATAACGCCCAAGTAATGTGACAAATCGGTCTGCATCAATATGTTCGCTCTTCCTGCTAGATTCACCTTGCATCAGCCGAACACACAATCGAAAGAGACCCCCCGTCTTATGATCAACCATCGTCATGTACTCTTCGACAGTGGGCACGTGAGAATGATATTTCCAATGCAAGTCCAGAGCCTGTCCACAATGTAGGTTCTTCAACTCCTCTATAAAGATCTCCACAGTGTTTGGGCTCTGAAGCTGCTGGAGTTCCTCAAAAGCACACACAAAAATGTAGTTGGCCGAGTTTATTGTTTGTGCTGTGCCAAACAAAGTATGAGCGGTAGGATTTCCCCTACGCAGCATTGAGTTGTCCTCGATGTCGTCAAGCATGAGAGATGAATGATGGAGCATGCCAACAATAGATTTAATGGATGATGAAGATGCGGCTGGGACTTCTAGCCAAGAGTCGAGGGCGTCGATGAAGGTCTCCCTGATCTTTTTCGAAGGAAGGGTATTAATGTAGTTGTAAGGAGCTCTAACAGCCTATCTACAGAGTCAGAATTCATTCAATGAAGGAGAATGCGCTGATGCTCACATCATCAGAAGGGGTTTTCAACAGATGTTGAGTACCATTGCATGGCATGTTTGTGTTGCCAATGTAGCCATTTTCATGTGTCGATTCATCGACTCCATTCACATTGTGATCGATCACTTCAGCTGATGGTATTCCTGAAGCTACAGCTCCATTGACTTGAGACAACTTGACGCCATTTGTTGCAACGGCCCCGCTGAAAGGTAGCGCAGAATGATCTTCCTGATGGCCATTGGTCAACGCATGTTTCCATTGGAAGATGTCATCCACCAGCAGACACTCTGGTTGTTTCAACTCCTCCTTGGTTGGGTAGCGAGGAGCAAAGATACTCCAGAATTCTGAACCTGAAGCCGCATACTGAGCTGCCATGATGTATTTGCGATGAGCGTCAGAGATGACTCCCTCACTCTGCTCTAGCTTTCTGACCAGGAACAAGTGTTGCTCCTGAAGTTCCACGTATTTTTCTCGAAGTCTCTCTATAGCTTCGGTGTCTGAGCATTTATACTGCCGCATTAAGATGCAGACCGCATTGAACGGGATTTCTGAGCCTTGTGTGTCAAGGTGATGTTTCAGCTCTTTCGGCCAGCTATGGCAGTCGTTGATGAGTGCCGCCGTATACAGCGCGGTATTGGCGATCTCGGACAACTTTGTTTTTTCCGCCTGCGTGAGACGAATCCCTATACCAAAACACGACATGTCTTGAAACACACTATTGTAAATTAGCCGCATGTGTTACACAGCAAAGGTCTGTCATCATCTTACTCGAGGCCGCAGTTCACCAGCCGAATGGGGAGATACTCTTCTATAGAAGAGATACCGGAAGGGGGAGATGTTGCTATCTGTAGGCCATTACTATAAGTGGTCATGACGTCCATAGCTAAGTCGCGGTCCATAGTCATCATCTCGACTAAAATGCTGGCTTGAAACTGCTTTGTTTTGATCGCTACGTTTGTTCCGTCGCTAATCGAATTGTTGGGACCTTGTAGCGAACGCTGGAGCTCCGCATTGAATGCAGTCACTCTTTTGACATCAACAGCGTCATAGTAGTCTGGTAATTGTTAACTCAATATATTTGAAATCATGTTTGCAGGCTTACCGTCATTCATTATAGTAAAGTCGGTAAACCTCGTCATGAGTGCCAGTCTTTCAGGCAAGCACTCTGGTATTGTAAATGCAACCACGTGAACCGAGCCTAGTACAGGATATTCACCTATAGTCTTAGCATTCAAGTCCACATCAACCTTGGATACAAAGTCATCTCGAATCTTGTGTGCTGCTTCCAGGCATAGAGCGTGATCACGATGGACCGCCGTTGGAAATCTAGTCAAGGTACCCGACTGTTTGACAATATCGTGGGGCACTAATGCCGCGTATGTTGTCATGATTGCTTTGAAGATGAACCAGCAAGCAATAGCGAAGACTGAAAATAGTTGAAACCAAGCGTATTAACATGCGAGTATCACAGTTGGTTGTAAAGCTAGGTAGGAAAGAGCAGCATAGAATGCTAATAAGGTTGTATCACAGACAAGAGTTGCTAGTCTCGGTGCGTCTTTTTCTTCTATAATACCTTATTAAGTGCAATTATTGGCTCCTACGTGGTGATTATCTTATATACGTTGTCATCTTTCATTTCTAGGCCATATGTCAGTGCTGCTGGCCTGCAGGCACTAATGTGCGATAAGCATAAGCCTTATAAAATGTAAGCGTTAAACTTATGCTGACTAATGCTAAAGTTTAAGCTAGTAATCTAAGTCTTCACTACATAGCGCAAGGCAGACCTTGTTGGCCGCCGAAAAGGTACAAAGTATTAATGAGACTTGTTGAATATAGAGTCTGAAGTCTGTCTTCGCTTACTCTCTTGCACTGTCCCTTCCCCTTGACTTACAGTAACAACTCCACGTTATATCAAACGCTCTTAAGGGAAATTCAGTCCAAACTTCATCATGGTCGCTACGACTTCGGTTACTCACAGTCTGCTAAGTTCTTTCAAGACTCAGGACCTCATACTATGTGCCTTATTCAGCCTAACATGTGTCGCTATAGTGGACATTATTTGGCGGATTGTGCACTATCGTTACTTTCATCCTTTAAGACACTATCCAGGGCCTTGGTTCGCCAGTGTCACACGGCTTTGGCTGGCATGGCACCATTTTTGGGGCACTGAGTTGCACACACAATGGGCGCTCATCAAGAAGCATGGTATGTAAACACCAAGCCTGTTCTCTTTTTAAAGAAAGAAATCAATGCCAACCTTTAATCCAAGGCCCAGTAATCCGCGTCACACCTACCATGTTACTCATCGCGGATAGCAAGGCTATGCCTACCATCTTCCACCGTCGGGACACCAAATCCCGATTTTACTTGCAAGGCTACGTTGGTAAAAGTAACAGTATCCTGCTTCGAGAGCCAGGCGCTCACGCGGCGCATCGCCGCCTTATCGGCGCTCCATATGCTCTCGCGAATATTCAAAAAATGGAGCCTCTTCTTGACAAGCACATCTTGCACTGGGTTAGTAGCATAGATGAAAGATTTGCAGGGCAGAAAAAGCCGGTGGACTTTTCGCACTGGTCTCATTATCTGGCATATGACACCATCACCGACTTGGGTTTTAGGAATCCTCTTGGCTTCGTCAAATCTGGCTCCGACGTTGGCGGTCTCATCGAGGGTTTTCGTATTGGCATGCTCATCTTTGGTGTGGCAGGTCGCGTATATCCCCTCACTGAAACGCTGCTCAACTCTTGGCTGAAGAAGTGGCTGGTCGTCCGCACGGAACAGCAACTAGGCTTCGCTGTCGTCATGGAGAAGGCTGGAGCTATTCTAGCTGAGCGCAGCAGGCGCATCAGGGAGCACGGCCAAAAGGCCCAGAAAGGAGAGAAGGCGTATGATCTTTTACAATCGTGAGTAAATAGCTCCCTTTCGTTTTACCAGTTGTTATATATGGCTGGGCGACCTGTTGGCAAGCACTGACTTGGCACGTCGCAGTTTTATGGACGCTCGTACACCCGATGGCGACCATCTCTCCGACGATACAATCATCTCGGAGATCTTTGTGATTCTCGGGGCTGGTTCGGATGGTTTTGGCAGCGCATCAACAGCCTTCATGGCCTCGGTACTCTCGCGGCCAGCTATTTTCAAGCGCCTCATGGACGAAATCCAGGATGCCGTTGTAGCTGGCAAGCTGAGCTACCCAGTTCCGACGTATACTGAGGTGTCCCAGCATCTTCCATTCTATGCCGCTTGCATAAAAGAAGCACTTCGACTGAACCCCAGCGGCGCCACTCTTCTCCCTCGCGTGGTTTGTCCAGGTGACCCGGAGCTGATCCTCAATGGCCGCCAGGTCCCAATTGGCACCGAAGTAGCCATGAATCCATGGATTGCTCATCGGGACGCGAATCTATACGGAGACGATGCTGAGGAATTTTACCCAGACCGATGGCTCGTCGACCCAGCGGCTGCCAAAGTATACGAGAAATACAATCTCGCTTGGGGATATGGCGCGCGTGTCTGTCTGGGCAAGCCTTTTGCCATGATGGAGCTCTACAAGGGACCACTTTCGGTGAGTCCTTGTCCATTAAACTATTACCCAGCAGCATGAATGCAAAGACGCTGACAATAGTGGGAAAAACAGTTGCTCCTTAACTTTGACGTTACTCTTGCTGAGGTTGGGCCGGACACGCCAGCACCGCATTCGGAAATGTATGCGACAGTGAAGGTTTGGGGAGATGTATGGCTGCAACTGCAGCGAAGTAGCCGCTGGTCAGACCTAGGCAATAAGATAGCACAGGACAAGCTTGGGGATAGAAGCGGAAAGGACGGTGTTGCTGGTGGAATTCCTCTCCCTGAGGATTTGCAGTGATTTGAGTCAACAACAAGGTGAACATCGCAATAGTAGCAGTTTCACTTGAACAGAACGGGTTGAGAATTGCTGTCGATAGCACGAGAAGCTTCTGGACACATCATCTATTATGTGCAAAAATCGGGAAATTTCTTAGCGTTCCTCGGATCTTTTTTTCCCCCACTAAAATTGCATGGGAGATTAGAATCTTAATAGAATTCCTGATATATCAACAAATAACAATTAGATCAGCCCCAGGTAGGTTGAAGCCTTTAGTTTGTATAGAGAAGCGCCTATACTAACTTTTTTAGGAGTAACAACGCGTTTGTTCGCAATGTATCGCGCTTATAGCGCCTCCATCCTTCCTAGCCGGCCCTGATCACCCTAATATCTTAAACTAAGCACCTAAGGGCTTGATGATCGCGTTTGTATAAACATCTGTTAGTTTCTTCCGCTTAGATGGTCTAGAATTGCAATTGCTAATTGTGAGGGTTGTTCTCTCTACACAGTTCACAATGTAGAGAACTATCTTAAGGCTTATGGCAGCGTCTGTAAGCCACCTACCATAAAGCTTAGAAGACCTTTTAAAATTAGCAATAAAGATGGCAAAGCTCTGTTTAAGGATTTGATCCGAAGCAGATGGAGATACCAGGACAAACAAGCCTATTGGCTATGCAATTTTGGTGAGGGAAAAAAAGATCCGAGGAACGCTAAGAAATTTCCCGATTTTTGCATATAATAGATAAGCTTTGTACAGAGTACGAGCTGTGTCTGGTCAACTAGAGAGAGTTCTTTTCTTCACACCTAAGTAGCTAATGAGCCAATCTAGTCTACCTGTACCCCTGATATGTGCAACCCTTCAAGCTCGCCATCCCGGCTCCTCCAGTCCTCTAGGACATCCATGAAACTGTTCAGCCCTGCCGGCCAGGGCCCTGCCGGCGCCGCAAGCATCTGTTCTTCTCTCGACATGTTATCTAAAGATGCTTCGGCATTGTAGTACGAAGGCGTGCATCCGGCCATGGGCGCTAGGGTCGGAGCCCCAGCTATGACGCGCCTTGACCAGGCTTGTTCTGCTTCTTGCGTTGCCTCAATGACCACCTTGGCAGCCGGTTGAGCCTCGCCAATCCGCCGAGTACTTTCTGAGATGATCTTAGCAATGTGCTGAGCAAAGGTTTCCAGAGTTGGTGTATAGTTAGGCGATGCACCCGCTTGGTTCGCGCCCGCGAAGAACATGTTAGGGAAGCCGTTGGTGCAGACAGCATGTAATGTGGCAACTCCTTTAGCCCATTTGTCCTCCATGTCCAAGCCTGCTCGCCCGATTACTTGGACGCCGCAGCGAGAGCCTGGACTGCCAAGCACACCGAGCTCAAAGCCCGTTGACCAGATGAGCACGTCCACGTGATAAGTTCTACCATTCGCCATAACGCCCGCCTCGGTCAGTCTCTCGATGCCCTTGCCATTCGTATCTACGAGTTGGACGTTGGGCAGATTGAAAGCTTGGAGGTACTCGTCGTGGAACCCCGGTCGCTTACACCACCCTGGGTACCATGCCTTGAGTTTCTCGGCAATCTCTTGGTCGCTGACTACCTCGCCAACCCTGGCTCGTATCCTCTCCGCGCGAGGCATGTCCAATCGATGCAAGTTGGCGACATGATCAGGAATTTCATCTATGCCTATTGTTTTGGCCCCACCCGTCAGAACGCTGAATGAGGGAAAGCTTGTCCAGCTATCCGATACCAGGTCCACGGGCTCCGGTGGCTGTGTGTTGGCTAGGAAGGATGCAAAGTTACGACTACGAGCCATCTGCCAGCCCGGTCCCGTGCAAATCTTCTGTCTCCACTCCTCCTCATCAGTTGCCTTCTGGCCTCGAACGTCAACTGCTGCTGGCGTTCTTTGAAATACTAGGAGTTCTTTGCTCCACCTGGCCAGGTGTGGCACCGCTTGGACAGCAGAGGCCCCTGTGCCTATGATACCAACCCTCTTATCTTGCAGCTGACGCATCTCTGGGGCTTCTTGGTTGCCGCCCGTGACGTTGTAGTCCCAACGTGAGGTTATGAAGCTCTGACCCTGGAAATTTCCCAAGCCGGGGAGTTTTGGCAGCTTCGGACGGTTCAGCAGTCCTGGGACCAGCATGACAAAGTCGGCACGCACGCTTGCCGTCGTTGTGTCTGCCGAGAAGGCTTTCTGGGTCATTTTGACAGCCCACTCTGCGGTATTATCATCCCAGGTGCATTGAGTGATGAGGGTGCGGAACATGGCTCGGTTCTCCAAAGACCATTGTCGCGCAACACGATTCGCGTGTTCACGAAGCTCCTCCCCATAGGCGTATTTGTGCTTGGGCATGTATCCCGTCTCTTCCAGCAGTGGCATGTATATGTAACTCTCGACATCGCACATCACACCAGGGTACCGATTCCAGTACCAGGTACCACCAAATCCTGCAGCGGCATCGACGATGACAATATCTTCTGGTTGAAATCCAGCACCAACCAACCGTACAGCGAACAAAAGCCCCCCTATGCCAGCACCCAGGATGACAAACTTGAAGTGGGCATTGTCTTTCAGCGTCAGAGATGCAGTTGATCCGTTGTCCCAAGGATCCCTTAGGAAGCGTTTATAACTTGGCTCTTCAGTATCCCCTAGATTGACGTATTGATCAAGGCCGTCAGGCCTGAGCCGCTTTTTTCTCTCTTCTTGATACCTCTCCTGAGTCTTCAAGGCCGTAGCAAGATCGATGGCTTCATATCTGTTGGTGATGTGCGATTTTGCTTGCTCACTGTTTACACTATTAGTGGCTGGTGCAACAGTGCTGATCGCAATTGCAGTTGACATGATTTTAGCAATGTTAGAGTTACTAGAAATGATTAAAATGTGAAAGAGGCAAAGGCATTCATGCTAAAGTGCAACAAAAAGCACCGTGGAGTTGCAAATGTTATCCCATTCAGCATAGTACTATCGTTTTTTTTACTATTAGCCTCGACGTAACATATACTAACCTTAGCTGAAAAGAATAGAGCTACAGTACTTTGCGCTGCGCTGACCATGCATAATAATCTTTAGCGCCTAGTGATGCATTGTCAGCTTTATATCCGACTATGGATTATAAGATCTTATATCTAACGATGCATTGTCAGCACCTTAATATCCAACTATGGATTATAAGATCTTATATCTAACGATGCATTGTCAGCACCTTAATATTCAACTATGGATTATAAGCTCTTGTATCTAACCATGCAGTGTAAGCTCTTGCATCTAACCATGCATTGCAGACTCTTTACGTCTACGGCTACCCATAAGCACGTACGCGCGCCTCGAACTCAGTACGGTTTACAATAGCAAGCATTACGTCGTCCTGATGCCCGACTTCCCCAGGTGTCCAAGTACTCTATGAACTACGTTATTTAAGAGCTGGCCCGCGTGGGTCAATCTTGCTCTAGCACTATGCTTCCATTCCTGTACACGTGCATTCATCATGCTGCGAGAGTGGAGCGCACCACTGGCTGCAGCTGCACATTCGCACCGGCTTCGCATAGGACCTCAACTGCCGAGTCGAGATCCATGCTGATTGCAATGTGCAAAGGCGTCTTTCCATCCATGTCGCACTCATCAAGCACGCTACTGTTCCTTCCGCAATGACAGACCAAAGTCCTCAAGAGCCGTTCGCGACGATGCATTACGGCCAGATGGAGCGCAGATCGTTGCTGATCGTCCATGGCCAGCACTTGTGCGCCACGTGACAACAGCATGTCGGCCACACTCTCGTGGTTCCCGATAATAGCATGAGCCAACGGCGTCATACTCTGCGCGTCTCTGGCATTGCAATCGGCGCCGTGCTGCAAGAGCAGCTCCACAATCTTCACAGAACCTCTTCGTACGGCCATGTGAAGCGGTGTGTCTAGTCTGGCAGAGTTCGTCTCCACCAGACGAGGCTCCAGCAAGAGGCGTGGATTGTCACATCCAAAACGTTGCAGCAGCGCCTCGATTGTGTCTTGCGACTCTGGTCGTGGGATTGTAGAAACAAGAGTTGATGCCATATCTGGAATAGTACAGGTATTCAGGCTGTCACCGAAATTCATAGGGTCGTGAAAAGGGAAGATATCCGCGCCTTGGCTGACATTGGAACCGCTGTTGGTATTGCTGTCAGTCGCATAACTAAAATCCGAGGTAGAGGCTTTCTCTATCATTGAACGATTGCGGGATCGTGTCCCTTGCTCTTCCTCCGAATTTGTGTCACGGGAGCCTCGGGCAGCCTCTGTGGTCCTTTTTGTTCCGCATAGATTGTGCCGTTCTGACACAAAGACGCAAAGTTAGCACAAGGAATGGTAGGGATAAACTTTGTGAAGTAGCTCACGTCGAAATCGTCGTTGCGCCAGGCGATTCTGCTCACGGCGCCGCTCCTGGGCGGTCGGACTGCTGGAGTCCTGCTCAAGCATACTTGATTCCGAAGAACTTGAAATGGGGTTAAATCGCAATGACTAGACTAGGCTTCCCTGCGCGCAACTTGGGCTCCATACTTACAACATCTAAATTGTTAAATAGCGTAAACGTGACCCTATCAATTCTAAGGATCAGGAAGTTGTGCCTTGTTTATTGCGTTGATGTGAACGTTTTAAGTGTGAACGTTTTAAGTGTGACGAGCGGCAACAACTGACTTCCACATCCCTCTCACCAAGCTACATAGCCGGCTTCCTTCGTGCTCAATGAATAATAATATTTTATTTTTTTTAGTACACGCATGCGGGTGTACCCGCCGATCCAGCATCAACGACGCATGGCAGCCGATAAGAACCCGCAATCTGACTGGACGGGCTCGAGAGTCGGTTTCGAAGTTGCGATCACTGCTGCAAGTAGGTAGTTCAGCTGCTCCTGCAGGATTGCAGACTGGCGCAATGGTCGCTTCTAGGCCTCTGAGGGAGCATGTATTACCTTTAAGCGGCCTATGAGAGGCGTTTCGGATGCCAACCCTGCCGATGCATCGCCCTCTCGAACGGATGTTCGCTTAACCTCCGACATCTCCGCAGATCTAGTACCGGACATTGGGAGCACATTATGTGTCAGCCGCTAGCCTCAGTTCAGAGTTGGCAAACATTCTCAGTTCAAGCGAATCCAGCCTTGATCTCAGACGAGTAATCACCATGAACGGCGGTCCGGTGGCTAGCAAGGCGATCCACATCAGCAACAGGCACTTTGTTGAAGATGCCAGCACAGACCTTCCAGCCAATGTGACCAGGTTCTTCATCGATTACGAGTGCCTTGGCTTGATTGAAGGTACCATACGGATTAAAAGATTTTTTCTTTCCTGGTATCTTTCTCTTTCTGCTCCTAGTTTCAATCACATCCTATTCTTAATCAGAACGAAGACACACTCTGCCACCAGCCCCTCCAATCAATCCAAACTTCTGGTTGTAAACGAAGCATCAATGGTCTCCGCATGTCAAGCCTGGGTAAGAAAACGCTAGTCCAGATCGATCTGTTCAAGAACGGCGTTGGATTGCTGAGATGGATCGTCAATAGCCAAATCTGAAACCAGGGCGGCGAATGCGTGTTGAGCAGTATGTTAGACGCCGGTGGGTAGATTTACCGTTAATTAATGCGCCATGAAATCCTGAGAATGGCCTTGAGTATTTAGCTACGTACCTCCTCGTTGAAAACGACACCAAGATCGGTTTGGAGGATCGGCCGGCTGCTCGTCGATTAGTTAGATTAAGCTTCTCATATTACTAAGCCTCCCTCTCAACAAACGCCATTGTCCTCACGGCCCGTCCACATCGGGCCATTGTGAGGAGGGCTTCAGCGCGGCTTTGTAGAGGTGGGTGAGCCTCAGGAGGACCAAGCCATTAATATTAGTTTTGCTGATGAGAATGTGCAATTTGATATTCTGTCTGTGCAGAAGTTCGCCTTCTAGAGCACGGAGATGTCTCCACGATATGTCGGCGAAGCATACATCGTTGTCGACAGTAGCACTTGCTTGTTGTCTGCCCACTATCGCAGTCTACCGGTTACGCTCGACCTCTGCAGCGGCAATGTCGTAGACGCGTTCCACATCGGCATCCAACGAGCCACAGTATCTACCGTAGGCCTTGCGGTCCACCTTGTTCTCTTTCAGAATGGCAACAGGCTTCCTGTGCCGCTCGCCATAATTCTGATGCAACAGTCCCACTATGTCTTCCATAATATTAGGAATTCAATGTACAGATGCAAGCCCATGATGAGCTACAATCGTGGTGATTCTAGACTATACCTCATATTGCTAATCTAAGTAACTAGCCCAGGCATAATACACCATGTTGCTAGTTCAATGCACAAAAAGACCGGGAAGAGGTGTTTGAAGAATCCAGTAAAATCGTGAAACAAGTACGTCGCTTCATCAGTGGCGGAGATCCACGAATCAGCATCGTCGGGCAGCGGAGGAGCAGCATTCATTCGTGTCCAAACCCGGCTGAGAAGGAACATCAGGCCGCCCGCTATTGGGAGGAGAAGCTTGTGGGCTTTACAAGGCGGAAGCAATTACCAATTTCCTCCCCTCACTGGGATTTTCGAGTGGCTTAATAGACTCTTTTTAGCGCTCTACTTCTGCGCACCGAGCGCAGCGGGTGGGTATGGCCCCAGGTCCGGGTACAGTTGACTGAAAGCAGAGGTCGCACGTCTCAGCATACCCAGCGCTGTCCCCGTCAACATGCTCGCGGTGGCAAGGCTCTAATATCCCTGTTTGTGCTCAGGCCATGTCTCGCGATGCAGCTCACGGAATGCGACCCATGTCTTTTAGCAAACACCATGATGCAAAGTTCCTCTCCTGCTGATGATCGACCTTTCGCTCAACATTGCTCAGGGTTGGTGGCAAGGTCTTGGCGGAGTTGACTGCTGGTGCAGTATCCCAAGCCTGGTCACATTGCTCTTCGATCTGAAGGCTCTCGAACAGGTACCAAAGCAACTCATTTTCGCCAGCGCCTAGGAGAATTTGGCGCTGTCTGGTCTCTTTGCTGCTTGATTCTGGGATTTAGCTTGTTCAGTCTCAAGTCGGTACAACCATGACGGTCAATGCTCATCACCACTCCTGAATGACGCAAAGACAAGAAGCATATCCGTGCTCCCGTCTACCAGGCTAGACTTGTAACATCTATCTCTTCCGTACATTATTGATATCAAGTACAGCAGCCGCGATCGCCTACCTATCCTTCATCACACCCGGCGGTTTCCCATTTATCGTCCCATTACTCCCCACTTTCGTCCCACTTTCACTCCACACATCGTCTTGAAACTCAACCTCTAACAAACACATCTCTGGAAAGGCCTCCGACCCCGCAACAAAACAACACAAAGCAGAAGCAATAATAATAAACATGCTAATACTCTCTCCGATCTCCGGCCATCTCCCCATCTCTTACTTCCTAGGAGAAGCGCAGTCACTGATGCCCATGACGACGCCGAACGACTCCGGCCTTGAAGTTTCAACCTCTTGGTTAGAAATCCAAGATTGGCAGAGACTGAGGCGAAAGGAGTCATGGTCTCGAAGATGAGAAGAGCCGCTTGACTGAAGGGATCGAGGATGAGAAGTAACTGGTAAACTGCGTCCAGTGAGAAAGAGGAGATCGAGGCGATGTTTCCGGTGTCGAAGAAAGCGGACCGCAACAGGAAGAAGAATAACAGACAGATTCTTGCGTCTGAAAGGGTAAGACTTCTGTAGTCCCCCTCTGCAGCAGCCTTGTCTCTCTGCTTCGCAGCCTCGGCGGCTGTTGCAATCTCCTCTCGCAATCTCCTCTTTCGGGGCCTTTTTCGCGTTGAAGGCGTAACCATTGCAATGATCCCGCTCGATATTCGTTTCTTTCGCCAATCGATTCGCCACTGACGGGGGAACGGTGATCCGCCTGATAGGGCCACTTTCAACGATTTCAAGTTTGTAGCGTTTTCAAGGTCCAACTTGACTTGATTAATTACCTACTTGGGTTGGTTACCTTTCTGTATAGGTTTAACGCGTCATAAACAGGGATAGCGCTTTTCTCTGACCGTGAGCTTTCCTTGCTGACATGTCTGATCCTGCTGAAGACGATCTGAGTCGCGAAGCAGGTACAGACCCCACTTGGCTGCGTGGATATGCCAAGAAGGTGCACACAACTAAACCATGGATTCCATTGATATTTACAGTTTCTGGATCTCTTCTTCTACACCTTTCCAGCAATCTCGATGTAACGTAGGATTCATCCATACGTTCCCGAATTGATCTTTTCCTTTCAGAATAATAATCCCAGGGAACACAGCATTAGGGTTTTGAAACCCAGACACATATGAAGAAATTTTACTGCGAATCATATCCTTACTATCTCCTTCTTCTGAATCTTGGACTATCGCTGGCGAGAGATCGATCATATGCTGAAGCTGAAGCTTTATCGCATTTGTCACAAAATATAGATCGCTGTCGTGCGTGCCGAAAATTGGTTGATATTTACCAGTCCGTTGGAAGGTCTCTCTGTGGTGTCGCAATAACCCTAGTACTTGATTCTCCGTTGTTTGTTGCTGTATTGCCTTCCGCTGTTCAAGGGCAATTTGAAAGACCGGTTCATCTTGTAAAAATCCCCGCGGTAGAAGTGTATAGACTGCAGACACCATGTTTGATATGTAGACTCCTTTGCGATCAACATTCGCTTGTACGATTTCGGGAGGGTTAATGACTTGCTCTTGTAAATATGGTCGGAGATTGAACGCTTGACCGAGGATTATAGGTCGTGATGTGCGCGAGGTCTTATGCTTGTTCGCAGCTTTCATTATCCAGCCAGTCAAGATATCACCTTCGCTAATAAAAGGTAGTTGTGATTCGCCTTGCTCCTCGGTCCATTTCTTCAGCTCCAGTCTTGTGTTGTCCACAAGTCGATGGAAAGCATCATTTGAGATCATAAGCATGCGTCGTTCAGGCGGTGGACGAAAAATTGCGTTCCATAAATACCGCAGTTGAAACCTGAGAAGATCGACTCCTTGAAGCTGATGTCGACTAAAAGCCCAGTCCTCTTTGATATCGAAACGTGCCGGATCAGCCATCTCCCACATTGGGTCGCAATTTATATCTATTGGCGTAGTGACTTTGTCCTCTTTGCCAGCTAAAACGAGCGACCAGTTGTGTAAAAACTCGCTAAATCCGATACCGTCCATGAGTATATGTGGCCAGCAAAGCCCAACAATTGTTGCGTCCGTAAAGGATGAAACCAGTACGCTTAGTACCGGACTCCCAGACTTGATGAACTCATGAATACTCTTAGGTGCCCGTTCTATCCGCGCGAAAGTTGCTAGGAAGTCGTCGTTTGGATAAACTATTGATTGTTGAGTTTGCTTGATTGGGGGAAACTTCGCAGCGATAGTGTGGCCAGAAACCGCCATATTGTACTTTTCATGATGGAAGGCAAATGCTGGGTTCTGCGAGTCGAAATTCTTTGGTACGTGCAGCGTGATTCGACCATTTTCCTAACCAACGGTCAAAACGCATAATCGCAATTCAGAGATCGAATCAATTTCCTCACATTCAACTTTATCCGGCCGCCGAGCTTGCGCCAATGGTCGATTTCAAGAAGCCCCTTCAGAGAGCTCTGTATCAGATCCGAGTCCAAGACATTGTCAAATTTGAAAGCAAAGTATTTGACATGGTCCCTGAATGCTTCGTCATTCCTAGAGATTTGGTACACAAAATTGTCCGAACATCTTGATTGCTGCTGCGTCTTAAACAACTGTGATAGTAGCGGCTTGAGACTGTTTATACATGCCGTTATAAATAAGCCGATTTGTCGAAACAACACATTCCAGGACGCCGTGACGCTTGCCATTTTGAACCGAGTCGTTTAAACAAGACAGTCCAGAACCCTCAACAGTAGAAGGACGTAGTGGGGATTAATTCTTAAGAAAACGATTTCGCCCTTTTGAAATCTTGATAACGACCGCCTTTATTTCGCTTCTAATACTATAAAGTTAACGAAGGTTGCCAGGCTCAAGGGAGACGAAACAAGGCATTCCAAGAAGACGGCCTTGAACTTTCAGTAGCGCATATAACTGCCTGTTAAGCACGTAAGCGTTGCTGAAGTTTGGGAAGCGCATACGTGCTTATCGGTAACCGTAAGAGCTTACAATACATAGTTATTAGAGGTAAGAGCTTACAATGCCTCGTTGGACGTAAAAGCTTACATGCATATCTAGTATTAGCGCAGAGTACGGTAACTCTATTATTTTCGGCTGAAGTTAGAGCATGTCATGCTGGTGCCAGTGGTGACAGAAATAGTGTTGGGTGCACACGGCCGACTATCAACAAGCTTATTTGCACCATTTTCTTTCCTACGCGTTCGCCGCGATCTTGGAACCGAGAAAGTGAGGCTAGAACGGATTTATTGCGCTTCGTGCTGTGCTTACTTGCCCCCTCGAGTTTTTTAACTTTCAAGCTCCAAGTCTGCAAAGCTGTAAGTAACCGTACCCCTTCGATATCATCTGCGCGACGCGATCTCGTTGTCGCTTGATGTCCTCTTTGGGCAACAGAATTACTAACCAGCCTACATTTGCCAGGCCTCCAATAAATCCTGCACGTACATCTACATGCCGTCGCGCCTGCACCTAACCTACTAGTACACGCCATGGCCACACAGCTCACAAGAGAACTCCAGCCAGACTGCTGTAGTATCGTTGAGTGGGCGCTGTCTGGTCAGTACGACCCGACGAAGCCAGTACTGATAGATGCTTGCGAGTCTGACCCACCACGGTCTATATCCAAGAACAAGGCTATTGAGCTTATTGCTTCTCTCACTGGTATATTCGAGAAGAACACAACCGTGTGCCTCCACCTCGCAAACGACATCCTTTACCCGGTCTTAGTGCTTGCTATCTACGGCTCATCATGCCGCTGGACAGGTACAAACACTGCATATACTATCCCTGAGCTGGAGCATCACATTCGAGTTTCTGACACCAAGTATGTGATTACTAAAGAGGACCATCTTGAAACTGTGCGCGCCGCTGCAGGCTCGGCAGAAATTATTATCTTCACTGATATCTTGTTCGAAAGGCGTGGTGGAAGTAGCGCCTCACCTCAGGAGTTTCGAACTCTGCACGATCTCCAAAGAAAGTCAAATGTAGAGAGCCTGTATGCTACAATCCGCGATATTGACCTCCAATCGGTCTCTACTCTCGCATCGACGTCAGGTACTACTGGTCGACCGAAGATGGCCGCACGCACACAACAGGCTATGGTGCTTGAGAGTGCCGCGATAGAAGAACATCCCAAACCTTACCAAGTGCGGCGCCTTTATTGCACTCCCATATTCCACGGCCTTTCGGCACCAGAGATGGTAGGTCATTTTCCCTCGTCGACTCTGCTTCTTATTGACGCTTTAGATCATCAATGCTCTTCGACTCGGCGTTCCATCGTATTTCATGAAACGCTATGACGATGTCCTATATCCTCAAAAGATCCAGGAGTTCGATATTACAGAGACTTTCGCGCCGCCACCAATGATGGTCAGGCTTATAAACAACACGCCTGAAGCGCAAAAGCAGCTCCAGTCACTTCGCACAGTCTATACCGGTGGGGCAGCGCTTGTACCAGAGTTGAGAGCCAAATTTCTCAAGCTTTTTGATCAGTCCAACGCTCCGCTAGTCACTCAAGTCTGGGGCATGATGGAGTGCGGCTGGATGACAACTTTCAAGTATCCTGAGAACGATGGCACTTCCTCTATTGGTCGCTTATTGCCTGGTTGTAGGATCGAGTTGAGCACAGCTCGCCATACATTGCCAAACGGCCAGGAGGCCGGCGAAATGTATGCCCACAGCCCCTATGGCATGTCGTGCTACTGGCATAACGAGGAAGCGACCAAACGAGCGTTCCAAGATAAAGATCACTACTGGCTGAAAACAGGAGACATTGGCTATGTGAAGGATGGGAAAGTGTACGTGGTGGACCGCGAGAAAGACATATTCAAAGTCAATGGCTTCCAGGTATGAGACTGCGGGCGAGAGCCGTAAGCATATATATGTGTCCGAAAATGGCTAACATCTCGCCCTTGCATTTTTAGGTAGCTCCTCCAGAGCTCGAGGATGCATTTATGGCATTGTCTGACGTGAGGGATGCTGGAGTTATCGGTTCCGGTCACAATCAAGGCTCCGGAGAGCATCCAATAGCGTTTGTCGTACGTGCCAACACATCCGTCACCGCCGAGGAGCTGAAGCAGCAACTTTGTCACCGCCTTACCCGCTATAAAGTCAATTCATGCGATATTCGGTTCATTGACGCTATTCCGAAGAGTGTGACGGGGAAGATTCTAAAGAATGAGTTGCGCAAGCTCGCTGCATCATAAATGCGATAACTCTATCCTGGGTGAGCCGGAGGAAGACAATGATGGCAAGGGATAGTGCTGGCCGGGTGAACTCTGCCAAGGAGTTTGGGGACGAGGGTAATGACGAGAAACGTTTTGAAAAGAATAAGTACAGAGACGTTTGACCTAGACAAAAGCAGTAACGATCGGCGGTGAGCGCGGTGAAGTGTAAGTCAGACTGACTTGCGAGCTAGCCAAATCATGGAAGACTTTGTAGTCCTTGAAATACAGTCAATTGCATCATTCTCGGTCCAGGTTCGTTGTATGAATGCCGATTCAGCGGAAATATTTGCTACATTCTCGTCTTTCTTGGTTGCAGTAAGCTTCCTTGCATACGAACCTTCTGTAAGCAAAGGACATGTGAGTGTTTCTACAGCAATACAGAGAGGCCGGGATTGTCTACGAAATATCACTGTATACCGAGGGGAAGAAAAGTTACTTTGACGGTTCAAGCCGTTGTGATTTCTGCATGGACTACCAAAGAATTCTCAATGAGTTAGAGCAGAATGGAATGGCTCCAAAAAAAAAAAGATCAGAGTTTATGTTAACCGCGTTGCGAAACACTACCCTACCTAGCCAGGAATCGAATGAAGTAGCTTTCACAAGATCAATGAGCAGAACACATTTCTGGATCTGGTGAACGTTGTGAGCAATCTTCCATAAGAGGATAAGTCTGAAGAGTAGTACGATGTCTGTGATTTGGCCAACTTTATAAAGAAGACTTGTAATCGAAGCCAGAAACGACAAAGCAAGAAAAGTGCTAGCAAAGGCTCTTCTTGTGAACACTGTCAGAAGCTCTGCCATACAAAGGACTGTTGTTGTCAGTTTCATCCTAGTTTTAGCGTAGTTTTTAACTTTACTATATGATAATTAGATTAACGTGTTTCATAAGAGAGTGGACCACCCAAGTGAGCGGACTAGTAAACACTGCCCAAACGCCTGTGCAGCAGAATAGTATGCTATTATATATAGTTAAAGTATAAAAAATCATTATAGTGTTACGCTATATTGCTGCGTAGGTGTTTTAGTAGAGTTTATTAGTTTACTTAGATAGTCTACTTGCTTATAAAACATGTTAATACTATTTTTTATACTTAAAATAAGTTTCAACTAGCGCTAGGTAAGCGCTAAGTATTTATAAACAGTTTACTAATTATATAAGCAGTTTTAATATTTTTTTTTATTTAAGTGTATACTTAATAAAGGTATTAACTTAAATCTTACTAATAAGTATATTATTTTATATAAACACTTTTAATAGTAGTATACTATGTAAAGCAAAGCTAAAATACTTTTAATAATTACCTTCTTTTTTACTTAATAAATTGTTATAATTTTACTTTATAGCTATATTACAAGTGTTTTCTTATATATTAGCAGTGTATTGTTAATTTTAACGTGTTATATACTACTATAGCGTGTTATTTACCTTTTACCTACTTGAAAGTAAGATTAAATATAGTATGTAAGGACGGAGCTATGTACCACTGCGCTAATACAACCAAAAAGGTGCGAATAATCAACTAACAGTTGATCTTGCGTACAGAATAGTATATATTCCCGTCGCACGTAAGCGCCATCTCGGCCTTACATAGTAAAGAATAGATCCCCTTTAGTATAGGCTTTCTATACGTTGTGTTGCAAAGATATTACATATTGTTGTTGCGCATGCGTTTGTCAGATATGCGCACCTACTGTCAAGACAGGAGGAACGTTTGACGAAAGCTGCTACATAGTACGAGCAATAAGCTCGAACAGTATGTTGCTGCAAATTGCTGCATTTTACAGCATGTTGCAGCAAATTGCAGCAAATTGCAGCATGTTGCAAGCTGGTCGCGCATAGGGCTAGTGCGCGAGGGACTCAGATCAGCAGAACAAAAAGCCGAGCAACACAAGTAGAGCAGAAAAAGGATTAATAAATAAAACACAATTAATACAATTAATTAATCATCCTATACATCATATCTAAACCCATTATTCATCTTAGAAAGCCTAGAAACAGTGCTTTAATCTAACAATTAAGAGTCTCAGTGCCTCCATTGATACAAAATGGCCACCCAGCCTCCTCGAGACGCGACAGTCGTCCTTCGAGACCACACCGACTACAGAGCCTGGATGATGCAGCTGCAATTAAGATGTGTAGCGCACGGCATCTGGCCGCAAGTGGATCCTAAGTTGACCATCCAAATGATCTCCAAACCAAGAGCTCTAGAGATGCTGCTAATAGCTGAGTTTTCACCAGCCTCCAACGTCAAAACGCCTACGCACCTGAACAAGCTATTAACAAGCGGTGTTAGAGCCTTTAAAGAAGCCATTAAATACTACAAGATTAAGGCTAACAAGTACAAGAGTAACAGACATAATTATAAAAGAGAGTAATTAAGCTTCTAACAGATTATTGTCTTTATCTAGTCAACAGTCAGCCCGCATCTGCAGCGTACATGCTGTTCCCTAGATTAACTACTTAGACAGTGGATTACAAACCTTAAAGCTACAGTAGGTGTTAACAACTAATTTAAACAAGAACGCGCGCGCGACTAATACAATGCATCCCTAAAGCTGCTAAGAAACGCGAGCATATGGGACCTATGGCTAGCAGAGTATGACTACGCTGCCACAGAAGCGGAGACACAAAATGTTCTAGAAACAACACAGTTTAATGCTATAGCAAAGGACTTTCTAACTGCTATAAATAAAGTCACCCCTTATTAGTCTATAACCTTTTAGAAAAGCAGACAGTTTGCACTAAACATAAATTAAAAAGAAATAATAAAGCGCTTCTAAGAACATATAATGTTAAATTATCTAATATATATAGGAAAGCATAAAGCTGCCTTTACAACAGATAACTTGTTATACTTTACTAAAAGTAGAAAAACTACCTAGGGCACAAACAGGGACGCCTGTAGTGCAGAAGTTGCAACATTAAGAAAATAAAGTAAACCTTAACATTAATGTTATTAAGAAGATAATAAGAAGTTATCTTTAAGCTAGAAACCTGCTAAAACAAGAGGCACTAAATGTCCTGCATGCAGACACATCTATGCACTAAAGGACTGCTTCTATGTCTATCTAGACAGAGCACTAGACTAGTAAATGCTAAATAAAAGAGTTAAAGAGCTTGTAGCATTAAAGCGCAAGCACAACTTAGAATTTTAAGGCCTACTAAGAGGGCAGTGTAGACATAATTTAAGAATACTAATTCTAAAGAGTTTACATACACCTACGCTAGAGATACAAGAAGACTAACTTAAAAGCTAGAAAGTATTAAGAGTTAAGGCAGCTACATTGCTAGCTATAGTTAATTTAAACTAGAATAGATATCTGCTAAGAGAATTATTTATCCTTAACTTAGGCTTAACATGCTATATTATAAATAATTTTAATTAGATCTACAACTATTATCTACTAACACTAGAAGACTTTATCTAGTCTAGAAACTCTTGCATATAAATTTAAAGCTACAGATTAATTACACTAAGCCTAAAAAGTAAGTATAGAACATATAGTTAAGCATACAGTCTTATACTTTATAATGCTGCACTGTGCTTAGACCTGCTGTGCAACCTAGTCTTGTTCTGCCTACTGCGATAGAAAGGAATCTAGTAGGACACATAAGCAGAGCTAACTGCTTTAAAGGCTCTAGACAGGACAATAATTAAAGATCTTATAAAGATCTATAGCTAATAAGTGTTAGAGTACTATCTACTACAGGAGGGCTTATATTATACACACATAATTAACACAAGAACTAAACATAGTCTATAAAAGGTATTAGCAGAGCTATAGCATAAGCGTCTAGAACACCTTAGACTAGCTACACTTTAACACCTTGTATAGTAAGCTAAGAGGGTGTAAATTAAAGGAATTACAACAGTCTAATGTAACTTATGTAGCAGAGCTAAGATACAATAATAAATTAGCTGCGCACTGCAAATTAGCAATAGCAGACCTAGCAAGAGACTATTAATTAATTTCTATGCATACAAAGCACAGAGCATTATAAAAAAGTAGAGTTAAATGCTAATTACTAATAAGTATTCTAGCCTCTAGTAGGACCTCTACTTTAAGAATAACAGGCCTACTAAATTAATTATTAAAGCTTTTATAATCTTTATCTTCTTTCTAAAGAACTATTATAACATTACTATAAAAGTTATTAAAGCTAACAACAAGATTACAATAGTAAAACTAGAAGTAGAACACTAGCTAGCATTGCAGAGAATAACTGTTAAGCCTTTAGCACTAGATATATAAGCCTAGAACAGAGAAGCTAAACACTTAAAGGGTGTGAACAAGGAGAAGTCACAGGCTATGCAACTAGATGCTAACCTACTATAAGACGTATAGCTATACATCACTAGAGCCAGCGTATACCTATACAATTAGACGCTAAACTATGCTAACAACTAGAAGACACTATACAAGATCTTCTTTATATAAGCAGCTCTAAATAATAAAGTTGTTACATTAATTTAAAAGCTAAGCTTTACACATCTAAGAGCCTATAGCTGTAAAGCATTTATAATAACTAATAACACGCATTAGAATAAATCTAAGCTATAGAGGCTAGACCTAAAGGCGTAGATTAGATATCTAGTTAGGTACTAATTATTAAACATCTACTGCGTATAGATACTACTGCTAGTAAAAGTAATCTGTACACGCAACATTATTTTTAATAAACACTTAATCTTTAGCAGTAAGCCTAAAGACCTAATAGATAACCTTATGCATAACATAGTAAAAAAAATTACTATATACATTAAAATAATTAAGCTTCTAACACCTAGTTATTAGCTAAAGATAAAGTTATTCTATAAAGACAACACTGTAGATAATATATTAAATTTTAACAAAGTAGACCTACTAGGCTACTATTAAGAAAGGAAGATTAGAGATAACTATCTGTCTCCTCTAAACACTCTGCTACCTGCAGCATTGCTTATGCAGTTAATAGCTAGAGCAGCACTAAAGCTAAG